CTAAAGCAAGGATAACTCCTGCTGCTGCTGCTGCTGCTGCTGCTGCTGCTGCTGCTGCTGCTGCTGCTGCTGCAGTTACCTGCAGCTTGTGGATGCCCCGCAGCAGCAGCAGCGCCTCGGGGGCCCCCAGCCTCTCCGCCTGCAGCTGAATGGCTTGGAGGGCCTTTTGCATCAGCAGCACAGAGAGACCCTAAACAAAAAAAAAAAAAACAAGATGCTGTCGCTAGCTAGCTAGCTAGCTAGCTAGCTAGCTAGCTAGCTGCCTGGCTAGCTGCCTGCATGGAAAGATACTGAACAGAGCTTCAACAGCTCAGAGACAGCCAACTAGAGGATAGCTAGCTGGGGGACAGCTAGCTAGGGGACAGCTAGCTAGCTAGCTAGGAGACAGCTAGCTAGTAAACAGCTAGCTACAAGGCAGCTATTAAGGAGATCGTTCGGCTGCTCCCAGCCACGCAACTCGAGCTACTAGCTAGCCAGGTGGAACACGGCTAGCTGGCTAGCTAGCTGTGGCTAGCTGGGGAGAAGACTCACGGGGTTGGCGAAGTCGAAGACGTCCGCGAAGAAAGAGCAAAGCGGCAGCAAACGGAGACGATGCAAGGTGTCTCCTCTGAGCAGCACAACGCAACACACGCAGCAGCAGCAGCAGCAGCAGCAGCAGCAGCAGCAGCAGCAGCAGCAGCAGCAACAGCAGCTGAGGTTGTGGCACCATCAACAACAGAAGCAGCACCAAAAAAGCAGAACCAGAGAAGCTCCAGCAGCAAAACCAGAGGCAGCTGCTGCAGCACCATCATAGAACCAGCAGCAGCAGCAGCAGCAGCAGTAGCAATAGGAACAGCAGCAAGAGCAGCAGCAGTAGAACCAGCAGCAGCAGCAGCAGCAGCAGCAGCAGCAGCAGCACTAACCCTAGGCAATCCTTAAAAGTGCTGGAGAGTTGAAGCTGGGCGATGCATGCAGCAGCAGGCAGCAGCAAATGAAGACGCGAGCTGCGTAGACACTCCACTGTTCTCAGCAGGGACGCAGGAACAGCTAGCCCCTGCTGCTGCTGCTGCTGCTGTTGCTGCTGCTGCTGCTGCTGCTGCTGCTGCTGCACGTGCTGCTGCAGCTGCAAGCAGGCCTGGTGAGCTGCATGCGCCTGCAGCTCCAGCAAAGGGAAAACTGCAGCAACCTGAGGAGACACGACCTGGTGAAGCAGCAGCACACAACAGCAGCAGCAGCAGCAGCAGCAACAGCAGCAGCAGCAGCAGCAGCAGCAGCAGCAGGCAGACGCAGTAAGTTATCGCCTCCCCTGACTCCTGCNGCAGCAGCAGCAGCAGCAGCAGCAGGCAGACGCAGTAAGTTATCGCCTCCCCTGACTCCTGCAGCCTTCCCAGGCACCACCCCTCTAATCTGTGTATATCAGCAGCAGAAGCAGCAGCAGCAGCAGCAACAGCAGCAGCAGCAGCAACAGCAACAGCAGCAACAGCAGCAGCAGCAGCAGCAGCAACTCACTGCGATGAGGTCCTGTGTCCACTGCAGCACAGCGGGGCCCATAGGCTGCGGCATCGGGGCCTCCTTTAGTTCTGCTGCTGCTGTCTTGATAGCAGCAGCAACTGCAGCAGCTCGATTGAGCTGCTGCTGCAGCAGCAGCAAACCCTCACCCTGCTGCTGCTGCTGCTGCCGCTGCTGCTGCTGCTGCTGCTGCTGCAGTGGCCTATGGGGATGAAAGACAGACAGCAGCAGCAGCAAGAGATCCTTGAGAGGCACGCAGACATGATCACCTCCTGCTTTTGCTGCTGCTGCTGCTGCTGTTGCTGCTGCTGGGTGCAAGGCGTCTTCAGGGCCCCACGACCCCCACCTA